TTGCCGAGGTGACAGAGCAAGTGTGATTACCACCTAAATTTACCTTAGTTCTTACACTTGAGTGCAGGGTGGTGTATGTTGGGTCTTCACCTTTTATTTTCACAGGAAACTCACTTTATTTGATATATTCTTACTTGATTTTGTTTCTCGATTTAACTCCAGCTTTTATCATATGACATTGAATCCAGACATATGGTCTGCTTCCACCATCTTGCAATGTGAAACCCCTGGGTCACTGTCACCACCCCCAGATGGACTTTGGACTTCCCGGCCTCAGAAACTGTAAGCAATAAGTTTCATTTTCTTAATAAATTACCCAGTTCCAAGTATTTTGTTATAGCAACACAAAATGGAATAATACAGAAAATTGGTACCAGAGAAGTGGGGTGTTGCTAATAACAAATACTTGAAAATGTGGAAGCAGCTTTGGAACTGGGTGTTAGGCAAAGGTTCGAGGAGTCTGGAGGACTCAGAAGAAGACAAAAAGATGAGGGGAAGTTTGGAATGTCTTAGAGACTGGTTACATGGTGGCAAGCAGAATGCTGATAGAAATATGGACTGTAAAGAACATCCTAAGGAGATCTCAGATAGAAATAAGAAGGAATTTATTGGAAACTGGGGCAAAGATCACCCTTACTATGAACTGGAAAAGAACTTGGCTGCATTGTGTCCATGCCCTAGGACTTTGTGAAAGTTGGAACTTAGGAGCTGTGAAGCAGAGTACTTGGTGGAAGAAATTTTTAAGCAGCAAAGCATTAAGGAAGCTGCATGGCTACTTGCAACAGCCTACACTGAGTTATGGTGGCAAAGGCAAGATGTAAAGCCAGAATTTAAAAGGGAAGCAGGGCGTAAAGATTTGGAAAATTTGCAGGCTGGCTATGTGGTAGAGAAGCAGAGAGCATTTTCAGAAGAAAAATCCAATGGTGCTAAGAAGATTAGCACAACAGAAAGGGATTATCAAGAGAAAGGGGAAAAGGCCCTGAAGGCATTGCAGAAGCCTCTGGGGCCAACCCTTCCATTACAGGCCCAAAAGCCTAGGGAGATAGAATGGTCTTGGGGAACAGGCCTGAGGCACACTCGACAGGCTCGCAGCCCAGGGCCACCTCGGGAAGCTGCTTCCAGCACCAGCACCCCAGCTGCTTTGGCTGCTTCAGCCATGACTAAATTGGCCCCAGGTGTAGCTGGACCTGCAGCTTTGGAAGATACAAGCTGGAAGCCTTGGTGGCGACCACGTGGTGCTAAGTCTTTAGGCTCACAGAATGCCAGAGCTGTGGAGGCTTGGGAGCCTCCACCTCAATTTCAAAGGATGTATGGAAAAGTCTGGGGGCCCAAGAAGAGATCTGTTGCAGGGGCAGAGTAACTGCAGACAACCTTCGCTAGAGCAATGCCAAGTGGAAACATGGGGTCAGAGTTGCAGCAGAGAAACCCTATCAGTGCCATGCCTAGTGGAGCCATGGGAGTGGTACTACCATAGAGGACCCAGACTTGTGGAGCTACCAGAGCAGAACGACAGCCTGGGAGAGGTGAAGTGTGGCTTTGAGCAGGAAAGCCATAGGAGCGGAGCGGCCCAAGGACTTGGGGACCCAACCTCCACACCAGCATGCAGAGGAGGTCGAACATGGAGTCAAGGTACCTGATTCACCAGCCTCGAGATTTAATGTGTGCCCTGCTGGGTTTCAGACTTGTTTGGGACCTGTTACACCTTTCTTTTGGCCTATTTTTCCCTTTTGGAATAGGAATATGTACCCTATGCTTGTCCCACCACTGTATCTTGGAAGTAGATAACTTGTATTGACTTCACAGATGGGCTTTTGAACTTTGGACTTTTCAGTTGAGACAAATTAAGACTTTGGGGATGAAATGAATGTATTTGCACGTGAAAAGGACATGAGTTTTGGGGAGCCAGGGATGGAATGTAATGGATTGAATTATGTCCCCCCAAAACTCAATGAAGCTTGAATTGTGTCCCACAAGTTTTATGTATTAGAAACTTAGCCCCCACTGTGATTGTTAACAAGGTGGGAACTCCTATTATGGTAATTGTAAGATGGGGCCTTGAAGAGGTGATTGGGTTGTAGGACCATGCAGTAATGGATGGATTAAAAATGGTGGTCAGGGGCGTGGTTCTAAGGGCTTTAAAAGAAGAGGAGAGTCTGTCTTGCTCTCTCTGCTTCCACCATCTTGCAATGTGAAACCCCTGGGTCACTGTCACCACCCCCAGATGGACTTTGGACTTCCCAGCCTCAGAAACTGTAAGCAATAAGTTTCATTTTCTTAATAAATTACCCAGTTCCAAGTATTTTGTTATAGCAACACAAAAAACAGGCTCGCAGCCCAGGGCCACCTCGGGAAGCTGCTTCCAGCACCAGCACCCCAGCTGCTTTGGCTGCTCCAGCCATGACTAAATTGGCCCCAGGTGTGGCTGGACCTGCAGCTTTGGAAGATACAAGCTGGAAGCCTTGGTGGCGACCACGTGGTGTTAAGTCTTTAGGCTCACAGAATGCCAGAGCTGTGGAGGCTTGGGAGCCTCCACCTCAATTTCAAAGGATGAATGGAAAAGTCTGGGGACCCAAGAAGAGATCTGTTGCAGGGGCAGAGTAACTGCAGACAACCTTCGCTAGAGCAATGCCAAGTGGAAACATGGGGTCAGAGTTGCAGCAGAGAAACCCTATCAGTGCCATGCCTAGTGGAGCCATGGGAGTGGGACTACCATAGAGGACCCAGACTTGTGGAGCTACCAGAGCAGAACGACAGCCTGGGAGAGGTGAAGTGTGACCTTTGAGCAGGAAAGCCATAGGAGCGGAGCTGCCCAAGGACTTGGGGACCCAACCTCCACACCAGCATGCAGACGAGGTCGAACATGGAATCAAGGTACCTGATTCACCAGCCTCGAGATTTAATGTGTGCCCTGCTGGGTTTCAGACTTGTTTGGGACCTGTTACACCTTCCTTTTGGCCTATTTTTCCCTTTTGGAATAGGAATATGTACCCTATGTTTGTCCCACCACTGTATCTTGGAAGTAGATAACTTGTATTGACTTCACAGATGGGCTTTTGAACTTTGGACTTTTGAGTTGAGACAAATTAAGACTTTGGGGATGAAATGAATGTATTTGCACGTGAAAAGGACATGAGTTTTGGGGGGCCAGGGATGGAATGTAATGTGTTGAATTATGTCCCCCCAAAACTCAATGAAGCTTGAATTGTGTCCCACAAGTTTTATGTATTAGAAACTTAGCCCCCACTGTGACTGTTAACAGGGTGGGGACTCCTATTATGGTAATTGTAAGATGGGGCCTTGAAGAGGTGATTGGGTTGTAGGACCATGCAGTAATGGATGGATTAAAAATGGTGGTCAGGGGCGTGGTTCTAAGGGCTTTAAAAGAAGAGGAGAGTCTGTCTTGCTCTCTCTGCTTCCACCATCTTGCAATGTGAAACCCCTGGGTCACTGTCACCACCCCCAGATGGACTTTGGACTTCCTGGCCTCAGAAACTGTAAGCAATAAGTTTCATTTTCTTAATAAATTACCCAGTTCCAAGTATTTTGTTATAGCAACACAAAATGGACTGATACACTTGCTAATGAGGATAGCAGCAGAAGCCACAGGGGTCACATCAGTGGCTGATTAAAAGGGGCACCAGGGCTGGCAGTACCAACCAGTACCTAAAGCTTGCAGGTGGTGGCAGCAGCAGTGGTTTCACTGGCATGGTTTGGAGTACTGTTCCTGGAAGCCCAGCTCTGAACCTGTTTCAATGAGCTAGCCTGGCTCTCTTAATAAACCCTTTCTGCTTAAACTAACCTGAGGGGTTTTTGTTGTTTGCAACTAAGAACACTGTCTGATACAAGATTTAAATGTTCACCAAAAGGGAAAGGGATAAATAAATTATAGTATGATGAATACTACAGAGTAGTTAAAATGAATAAGGCATATCTATATGTATTTCTATATCAAGACCTCCAAAACATACTGAGTGAAAAAAAGCAAGGTGCAGTATAATACATACAGCAGGATTTTTTTTAAGATCACTCATAAACAACCAAGACAGAACTTAGCAAAAAGAAAGTCAGTGTCCTCATGGCCCTTACAGGCCAGTGGGAGAATACAGACATTAAAGCAAAGCACAAATAAGTACATAATTACAACCTGTGGAGGATACTAAAATTAATAAGCACATGTATTTCACAGGGCCTAACTTATAGCTTAGTGGGGCCATAGCCCCTAGTTTTAGAAGGGCCACAGCCCTGTAGTTTAGGGTATAGCCTAACCTTTTAGTTATTGCACATAGAAATGCTAAGCTTGGGAAAAGCAGAAAACTTTCCCAGGACTAAAGTCCCTGTTGTAAATAAAAAATTGTAACACAGCAAAAAAAAAAAGAAAAGAAAAGAAAATAAACCAGACATATGAACCAAACTCACTGTGTTTGAACTTCAGACAAAAGTTCAAAAAACCACGACCTGGGGACCTCCTGTTAGTGTCACCTTCAGGTCAGTGGCTGATTAAAAGGGGCACCAGGGCTGGCAGTACCAGCCAGTACCTAAAGCTTGCGGGTGGTGGCAGCAGCAGTGGTTTCCCTGGCATGGTTTGGAGTACTGTTCCTGGAAGCCCAGCTCTGAACCTGTTTCAATGAGCTAGCCTGGTTCTCTTAATAAACCCTTTCTGCTTAAACTAACCTGAGGGGTTTTTGTTGTTTGCAACTAAGAACACTGTCTTTTTTTTTTTTGTCTTTTTTCGTGTCCGGCAATGGATCGCAACCCTCAGTGTCGCGCCCGTACCGGACCGGGACCGGCAACGGGATCGCAACCCTTGGTGTCGCGCCCGCACCTCGCTCAGCCAGTGAGCGGGAACCAGTCTGTATGTGGGATCCGAACCCTCGGCGGGAGCGCCGCCACGCTCCCAAGCAGCGCACTGTAGCAGTGCGCCACCGGGCCGGCCCAAGAACACTGTCTGATACAAGATTTAAATGTTCACCAAAAGGGAAAGGGATAAATAAATTATAGTATGATGAATACTACAGAGTAGTTAAAATGAATAAGGCATATCTATATGTATTTCTACGTCAAGACCTCCAAAACATATTGAGTGAAAAAAAGCAAGGTGCAGTATAATACATACAGCAGGATTTTTTTTAAGATCACTCATAAACAACCAAGACAAAACTTAACAAAAAGAAAGTCAGTGTCCTCATGGCCCTTACAGGCCAGGAGAATACAGACATTAAAGCAAAGCACAAATAAGTACATAATTACAACCTGTGGAGGATACTAAAATTAATAAGCACATGTATTTCACAGGGCCTAACTTATAGCTTAGTGGGGCCATAGCCCCTAGTTTTAGAAGGGCCACAGCCCTGTAGTTTAGGGTATAGCCTAACCTTTTAGTTATTGCACATAGAAATGCTAAGCTTGGGAAAAGCAGAAAACTTTCCCAGGACTAAAGTCCCTGTTGTAAATAAAAAAAATTGTAACACAGCAAAAATGCTTGTTCTAAGGGCAGTTGTCCTTGGTGCGGCTAAACCTAATGATGGGAAAGTATGTGAGCTAAAGGCTTCAAGGCTGCAGGTTGGGGGATGTTCCTCATCTTGCCTTTGGCTGTTTCTTTGAGTTCCTGGGTAACTAAGTGTTGCCATAACAATTATCTCATTGTTCTTTTTGTAACCACCTGTGTTCCTTTTCTGTAACTTTCTTGCCTGGACAATAAAAACGGAGAGAAAACCTAATTTGGGGTTATTCCTAGGAATTCTTCTCCCTTGAAGAAATCACTCCTGGGATTAACCCCTTCTGGGCTTCTCACCGCTCTGGAAAAATGGGCTTTGAGTAATCCTTTGCATCTCCATCACCCTGGGAGAGGTGACAACAACCTGTGGAAGTACCAGGCAGGAAAATAAAATAATGGAGTAGAGAGGTATAATTTAGATTTTTCTGGCAAGTGGGGGTGGATACTCAGGACTAAACTTTTTGAGGAAGTGAAAAATGAGAGGGAGTTAGCCAGGCTGAAGGTGCAGGGTGTGTGTGCATGAGGTGGTAGATGGTGGAGGGAAAGAGCTTTCCAGCACATCAAACGTAAGGTGTAAAGGCTTCAAGGCAGCAGAGAACTTGTCTTATTTAAGGAACTAAAGTAGCTCACTGGGGCTACAACAAGTTTTCTTCTCCTGTGTTGGCACTGAATGGGTTTACCCTATTTAACCATGTCCCTGTTGATAGAACATCCCCTCTAACAGCAGGCAGTGAACATCTTTGTGCATACCTGGGATCTCACCTCAGGATAAAGTTCCAGAAGTGAGACCACTGGATAAAGCCTTCATGAACATTTATGGCTTTTGATCCATACTATCAAATGGGTTTCAAAAGGGCCATGCCAATATCCACTCCCATCAGCAGACCCTTTTGTGTCTCAGAGACTCACCAGCACATTGATGATCATGCTGTTCTCCACGGTGACAGCTTTCACAAGGAGCTTTCTAGACCCGTCCTTAGACTCATACCGGAGGACATACAGATCTTTATTATTATTCCACCCAGCAGGAAGCAGTTCTGATTTCTTATCACTGGGACCAGGCTGAGAAGACACCAAGGTTGAGAGGAGAAAGATCATAACCTCAGGACATAGAGCTATAAAGGACCTTACAGATAATCTAATCCCACCTCCTCACTTCACATATGAAGACATGGAGGTCAAGAGAAGTGACTTGTCCAAGGTCACACAGCGAGTTAGAGGTCTAGGACCCAGGTCTCTGGACTCCTGTTCTACTGCTCTTTCCCCCAAATCTGGCTGCCTTTATGGCACAGCACTGGAACCCATTAAGAATCTGCAGCGTTGGTATAATAATCACCTCCTCTCTATCTCCCTGCCAAGAATAAGGCAAATCATCTCAAAGGACACTGTGAAATTCTAAAGCAGTGTTTTCAAAGTTTGAACACTGGGCCACCTGCAACAGAGTCACCAAAGTGACTTATGTAGGCCCCCCCCACCCCCAACTGACTGCAGTGGTTTAACAAGAATGATGAACAATTTTCATACATACATAAAATGTAGCATATGTACAAGATAAAAAAGAATTATAAAATGGACATCTATGTAGCTACCACCAGCTTATGAAACAACATCACCGATACTGCTAAAGCCTTAGGTAGCATACCCAATGAATCTCCCTCTTTCCCCCTCAAGGGTCACCATTACCCATATTTTTAAAAATTTCTTTACTTTTCCTTAGAGTTGTATTATTATACATACAACCATAAAAACATACTGTTTCAAATGTTTTTGAATGTTATAGAAATGGCATCACTTCTGTCACTGCCTTTTTTATTCAATATTGTTTCTAGAGAGTCAGCCATGTCAATGCATTTAACTATAGGTGATTCACATTCACAGCTATACAGCAGTCCATCATATGAATAGGCTGCAATTTACCCATTCACTTGTTGATGGAGATCAAGAATGTTCCCAGTTTGTTATGCTATTATAAACAATGCCACTATGAACATTCTTGTGCATATCTGGTACACATGTGGATGAATTTCTATTGAGTACTCATATGCCTGGCGGAAGAATTTTTAATTTATCAGATAATGTCAGATTGTTTTCCAAAGAAGTACTGATTTACACTCCCACTAGCAATGGAAGGGAGCTCCTGTTGCTCCAAGTGGTCAGCAACACTGCTATTGTCCAACTTCTCAATTCTTGCCAACGTGGTAGGTGTAAAATACATCTTATTGTGAGTTGTGGTGTCTTCCTTTCTTTTCTTTTTTAATAATCCTAGGACTTTCCTTTTACACATTAAAATTTGAGAAATAGTTCCCAAATTATTTCTACAGTAAAACTAATACAGTGATATCTAGGTGCAGAAAGATTTCTTAAACAAGATGCATAAAAGAAAAAAAAATGCTGCCTTTGAGATTGTTCATAATTTTAAGCTTCTGTTCAACAACAGACACTACAGGCAAAGTTAGAGGGCAGGTTAGGAAGAGATATTTGTCATGGCTTCAAATAAAAAAAGTTAATAACCAGCACATAAAGGGAATGCCTGGAAAATGAACAATAAAAGTTGGGAACTGAAAAAACTAGCAAATGTAAGAATAAGGAAAAGAGCAGCTAATAATGTATAAGAGTTGTTCAACTTTACTAGTGTTAATCAGAGAAGCACAAGTTGAAATAATGAAACACCAGATTACACCTGTGGGACCGATAGTCCCATTTTTCTATTTTTTGCCAGATGTTTACATGGGTGTGGAGAGAATGGGAACCTCCAGGCACTGCTGGTGGGCACTTAAACTTGTTGCTCCTTTGGGGAGCAATCTGGCAGTATTTAGTGCAATTAGGTGAGTCAATACCCCATGACCCCAAATCCCTAACTCCTGGAAGAAACCCTGTGTACAGACACATAAGGGATGTGACAAGAGATATTCATCACAGCCAAAGTGGAGGCAAGATGCAAAACATGCTTACAGTGAAATACTACATACCAGTAAAAAGGAACAAATTAGATCTAATTGTAGTATTAGAAAAAAAAGTAAAACATATAATTTAAAGAAAAGTTCAGAAAAAATGAGGTTTACAGCTCAGCATCATTTATGCAAAAAACTTAAAAAGCAGACAGAAAATACTACATAGCTTTTCATAGATGCATATTTATATTGCTCAACATGGAGCACACAAACTGGGAAGATCTGTATTCATGAGAATATGGAGGGAGGGAGTGGGACCAGAAATGAAGAACAATGTCAAAAGACAAAGGCCCAGCAATGTAGTACTCTACACGCACCAGGGACAGTGGGAGGCCATGAATCGAGAATTTCCGGCCTCTTTGTTTGGTCACCCCTGGTGCTCCAAGAATCTACTGGAGGAAGAAATCCCAAATAAAATTCAGGATGTCACATTGGCCTTAAAACCCAGCTGGAGGATAATAAAATTCATAGGCCTGAAGCAGAAAAACGAGTGACAAAAAATGAAAGTGAAACAAATCAAACCATTTTGTTAAGTGGGAAAGAGAAACTATCTCCTCACCCCAAACTGGGCAAATTTCCTATAACATGTTTGGTGTTGCTGATTTGAGGTTTACTTTGGAAGCCAGGAATTTGATGACATGCCTTATCTTTGTTCTGTCAAAGGCCTTTTAATTTATGTTCTGTCCACCATGTACAGCATTCAATCCACCAGAATTCTCTCTTGGAATATAGATTATTTGGTCTGCCAACCACCCCATTACCTTTGGCTTCCAGAGTAAGAGAGAAGCCCTGATGTAGGTGAGATTGATGCCTCTCACTGCAGTGTAACTGCAGAAAACAGAGGTGGGACTGATAAGAACAGGCCCTGAGTATACCAGGCTAAACATGCATTCAACTCTATGGCTGTGAGATCAAATATCAAGCATTCCAGAAAGCTACAGTTGGGAAGTAGCCAAAGCACACATGGTTGTGTACTTTTAACTTCCCCAGATGGATGAAAAAATCTAAGGCCTGAGAGGGGCTGAGAATTGTCCATGGTCACAGCAAGCCAGGCACAGAAGAGCTGAAAAGAACAGTAAGAACTGTTTTTTTTTTAATGAACAAAAAGGAACAATTTTTATTGTTCTTTTCCAGGCATCCCCTTTATGTACTGGTTATTAATTCTTTCTATTTGGAATTCAGAGCTCCTGGCTGCCCAGGCTACAGATAGAGAAGATTTTGCCAGCCAGGTCCACCAGATTGGCCCCAAAAGAGTAAAGATAACTGTCTTCTTAGGCAGTTAAAAATCCTGGGGCTGGAAGCATTCTTTAATGGTTTTGAGTTCACCCGAATGCCTCTGGTCTAAAATGCACCCAAAGAAATTCAAACAGATCATTTGGGGATTTTTCTCTCCATCATAATCCTCAGATTTCCCACAACGAAAGACAAAATTCTCTAACTTAAGTCTTTTGCTGTCTCTATCCCCTTGCCACCTGTACCACTTGACATAGCTCTAAAGTTCTCATGAGGAGTGGTGCTGACATCAAGAAAGAAATCCAAATTCAATTACTGAATTTTTGTTGAAGCCAATGGCTGTGCTGCTTTTCTAATCAAGTTATACTTACATAATTCCCCTGTACCAGAAGAGTCAAAAACCAAAGAGAAAACAGGCAATCTAGCTTTCTATTTAATTGTAGATATATTATATAGTGAGATACACACTCTTGGGACCTTCCTCTCCCTCCTATCACTCCCAGAAGGGTGGGGAGCAGGAGGTGGCTGGAGCGGAAACATAAACATCCTCTGAGCTTGGCAAGCACTACTGGTCCCAGCTGAGTCTGCTGGCTGAGGCTAGAAAACTAACCCCCCTCTTAAATAAACTAACAAGAAAGATGCCTCTCCAAATGCCTTCTACTCTGAACGAAAGTAGACTCAGCAGGAGTGAGAGGAGGACAAGTGCAATCCGAGCCCCAATACTCAGGTTTAGGAGAAAAGGCAGAGAAACAAAAATACACCACACTCTGCAATCCAAACACCCATCCCTCAGGTGGCACGCAAGATTTAGCGCTGGGGTAGACAGAGGGACAGTAGGCAATGCCTTCCAAAACCCCCATTCCCCAGGATCCTTGCCCTCCCCAAAGATGTCTGCAACCAACAACTTTTTTCTGGCCCGCAGGAGCACAACACATGGCACCCCATGGGTCAAAGCTCACCCCTGTACCCGTGCTTGGATCCAGATGTCTGCTGGAGGCTCCAGTGCAGTATGAGGGAAATATTGAGTGATTCCCCCCAACCCCACCCCGTGGCTGTGTGGTAAGGAGCGTAGAGGGGATCGGGTAGGTGAGGAGTGCTTTGGGCAGCTACACCCCTGTCTCGGTGACATGTCCACACAACCCATGCTTGAGAAAATACCAGGCTGTGTTGAAAACAGTTTCTGTCTTTGGGTTTCCAAATCAAGTTGTGCCATCTGGGTTGTGAGGGGCTCCGGACTGGGCTGGGACAGTTGAGCACACCCGACCCGCAAGCTTTACCATTGGTGTCATGAGCCCCAGGCCCCGGAATTGGGGGAGGAAAAACGTCAAGCGCTCTGGACCAAGCGTCCGGTCCTGTGGGTTTGGGCAGAAGACAGCTCCCCCCTCCACCGTGGCCGCCTCCGTGGTGTACCTGGTCGCCGATGCCCAAGCCGTAGTAGCCGTGTGTCACCACTTCCCAGTGCAGGAAGCAGACGAGCGCGTCCTGCGCGCTGGTGATGGCTGGCGCCGCCGACGCGAACAGTACCTCCAAGCCCGCCATGAGCGCCCCCGGCTTCTGCGGGCGAAGAAAGGGTAAAGCACAGTGAGTCGGCTCGACCCTCCCAGCACCTGTAACTCCGCTCCGCTCTTTCGCGGGTTCCGGCCAGTCTCCACCTGCGGCCAAAATGGAGACGCCGGGGGGGGTGGGGCATGGCCGCCGGAAGTAGTTCCGAATGCGGGTGCATCTGTGAGAGGCGCGCCGGGCTGGAAACGCTAGCGCGATACTTAAATGTTCCGCTTGGTAGTGTGGGTGCAGAGCGCGGCCCTTCAAAGCTGGAATCCCCGCCTACCCTGCAGCGAGCGTGACCATTACACGCAGGGCGTTGCGTGCTTGAGGAGAAGCCATTGAGCCACAGGCTCCCCATCCGCAAAATGGGTTGTGCCATGCTGGGGAAGAGGTTAGGGAATATGGCTAAAATAAATTCATAATAATTGTTACCACTATACAGTGCTTGCTACCTGCCACATTATACTAAATGCTTGTATTCATTTATTTAATCCTCACGACCCAACCTTATGAAGTTGGTAATATGGTAGTACCATTTTACAGATGAGGAAACTGAGACACGGAGGGATTATTTGGCCGAGATGACACAGCCAGCCAGTGAATGACAGAAGTGGTAATGGAACCTAGCAGTCTGTCTCCTAGGATAATATTTATTATTATTATTTTTTTTTTCCTTTTTTGTCTTTTTTTCGTGACCGGCAACGGATCGCAACCCTCAGTGTTGCGCCGGTCCCGGACCGGGACCGGCAACAGGATCGCAACCCTCGGTGTTGCTCCCGCACCTCGCTCAGCCAGTGAGCAGCCGGTCTGTATGTGGGATCCGAACCCTCGGCGGGAGTGCCACCGCGCTCCCAAGCAGCGCACTGTAGCAGTGAGCCACCGGGCCGGCCCCCTAGGATAATATTTATTGTTATTGTGTGCTACTTCCTTTGCTAAAATCTCTACATCAACCTCACAACAACTTTATGAGGTATGTTCTGGTATCATCCCCATTTTGCAGATGACAAAATGGCTCAGAGTTGAAGCCACTTCCCCAAGAAGATATAGCTGCTGACCACATAGCTGGAGCTCCTGACCCACTATCAAATCACCTTCAGGATTTTCCCCACCTATTACGTCTTCAGCAGGCTTATTGAAGCCAACTTATTGTTTTTATTCAGATAAATTTAGTTTCCTCACCCTAGTCAGCACCCTGGAGAAGCCACCCTCATCTCTCACTGAGACCCTCATCTCAGTCCAGCATCAGCTCTGAACTGCTCAACTCCATCCCTGTCTCCCTACAGTCTATTCTGCACTCTACACCCAGAGAGATTCTGTTAGAACACAGGTCAGATCATATCCCTCTGCTCAAAACCTCACAGGGTTCTCATAACACTCAAAGGAAAAGTGAAGTTTTCCCCATGGTCTGCAGGAACCTGCATATGGTATGCCCCCCAACCCACCCCACCCCACCAGCTCTGTACCTCTCTGATGTCATTTCCTCCAAATGTCATTTCATCCCCTGTTCTCATGGCCGCAGTAACCTTGGCTCTCCTCCTCTCTCACACCCACATCTGATCCAACAGCAAAGCTAGTCATTTCTGCCCTCAAAATATATTCTGAATCTCACCACCTTCCACCACCATCACTGCCTCCACCCAGGTCTGATCCTCCAGCATCTCATACTTGGATGTTAAAGTAGCTTCGTAATCAGTCTCCCTCTTCACATGTTCTGTTCTCTATGCCTTTGTATTCCTCTTTCTGGAATGCTCTTTTCCCAAATATCTGCATGGTTTGCTTCTTCATTTCAAGTGACTCCTCTCCGCCTCAACAGAGGGCTTTCCCGACTACTCTATCTAAAATAGCCTTCTCTACACTTTAACGTCATTACTCTGCTTTCTTTTCTACAAAGCATTAATCATAATCTGACACTACATTAGGTATTTGTTTACTTGTTTACTTAATGACTGTCTTCCCACTAGATTTTGACAAAGGAGCAAGGACCATGTCTATCTGTGTACAGCTGTATCTGAGTGCCTTCTTGGTTCAACAAATATTTATTGATAGAAAGAAAGAATGAATACTGAATGAATGAATTCTCGGCCTAGGCCCAACCCAATCTGGCCAGTCTCACCTCTTTACAGTCTACCACTCACTTTGTCAGCTGGCCCTGTGCCTCTCCAAATTTTGTGTCCCTAGGGTTTCCAGGTCTGAAATGAAGCATACATATACATTGACATACTCTGGGTGATGCTAAAGCCGGTGACCATGGAACTCCTCTCTGAAACGTACTGCCTGTGGCATAAAGCTATTTGCCTTTTCTACCAAGAAGCCCTGCACTTTCAGGCTTCCTTGCTTTTCCTTGCTCTGTCTCTTCTGCCTGTAACATCCTTACCCAATTCTGGAAAATTTCCACATTCGTTCATTCCTTCAATAAGCCTTCATTAAGCTGGGCTGCCATGGATAGTGGTGCAGGCTGTGCACTGCACAAAGGTTATTTCCCAGTAGCAGCCCCATTTCTAAGTTCCTACTTTTAGCCAGGCCCAGACGAACAGTTTCCTGTCTCTATGGAGTGCACTGTCTAGTGAAGAAAAACATTACAGGCAAACGTGAAAACTGTCATGATAAAGGAGCACTCAGAGGTCTGTGTAAGCCCAGAGGAACCATGTAACTCAGGCTGGGGATCAGGGAAGGTTTCTTGGAGGAAGAGATGGCAGACTGTACAGTACCTTAATGGATGATTGGGAGTGGATTAAGGAACAAAAACTGTTCCAGTAAAAGAAAAGTATGTTCAAAGGCATGGAGGTGTGAAATGCAGCTGATTCTATGTGATTAGAGGATCAATGCTGCCTCCTGAGTGAAGCCTTCCCTCATCCCTATCTCCTCAGTGCACTTGGCATCAGTGGGGTACCAAGGGGCGGGCATCTGACAGTGAGAGCTATCAGCCCTGTCAGTAGGGAGGACAATTTTATCATTGAAGTTGATTAGAATTGCTGGTTCATGGTGATAATAAAAAGCAGACCAGCTTCTCGTGAGTTTTATTACTGCTTTTATGGTTTTTACAAACACACCGCCTTGTTGCTTACACCTGGGCAGACAGATCCCCCACTCTCACTCCTTGGTTTAACACTGTTTTACATACAATTGGTTGTAGCTTGCATCTCACAAAATTTTGGATTTCTGTTTAACACCATCATCCCTCTCTTAGCATGGGTTCCCTCAGAAGCCAGTGCTGAGACACGCATTTGAGTGGTTTATTTGGGAACTGATTTCAGGAAATAGCAGAGGGGCAAGGGGAAATAAGACAAGAAGGGAAGGAAGGTGCATGATCAAGCCAGTTACCTCTGTGGGAAACTGGAGCTTACACCTGCTGGGGAACTCTGGGAGGTAGCGTAGGACATGTCTCAGAGTTGTTACAATTAGGGACATGGGAACTGGGGTGTTTTTCCACTCACACCCATGTGCCACAGGTTGAGAACTGTTTCTGGGGTCATGAAAAGCCCTTAGGCAGAGAACTGCAAAATTTAGAGAAGCATCTGTTGATGCTTGGAGGTGACTGCTGAGGGCTGAGTAGGACGTCAAGTGGCTACTCTGTCTTCCACGTTCACCCCTACCCCCAACTAAGGGTGAGGCATGCCTTGGTAAGCCTGTGACCCAGCAGCCAGGATGGAATAGGCATTAGCATTTGTGTATTTTTTTTTAAAAAGATGACTGGTAAGGGGATCCCAACCCTTGGCTTGGTATTGTCAGCACCGCGCTCAGCCATTGAGCCAACCGGCCATCCCGATATAGGATCTGAACCCATGGCCTTGTTGTTATCAGCACCGCACTCTCCCGAGTGAGCCATGGGCCAGCCCCGTAACATTTGTGTATTGAAAGAAAGAGGTGAGCTCTGTTTCCTGCTCTGGGGTGTGAGTCCCTTGAGGGCCAGAAGTATGTTCTGTCTGCTGTGGGCCCCAGGGTCCTCCATAGCAACAAATGGGAGGATCCTCTAAGGCTGGAGGTCATCTGTGTCAGTCCATCCAACACTTTCTGTGGACTTACCTACATTGGCAAGAGTCCCAGTCCACCCTGTGAGGGCTGCAAGTGGCTGACAAGGGGAGCAGGTGGCAGGTGCCTCCCCTACTGGGTCCCCACTATCTGGGCAGAAGAGAGCCCATGCCAGAGACGAAGGCCAGGATGATGGAAAGAACTTGGCAAATAGCTGCAGCCTCCACTTCTTGGTTGCCAAGTGACAGCAATGTGGGTATTCCAAGCTCCCTGTCTCCCTGGAAACCGTGGAGAAGTGAGCTGAGGGGCAGGGCAAAGATGAGCACTGAGATGAAATCATTTACCACTGGAATTCTTCTCCTCCTTTGGCTTAGCGTCAGCCCAACCACCTCACCTCCTCCAGGAAGCCCTCAATGATTAAGATTGTTCTTTGTTTTCACCAAGTGGCTAACTGGTACCCAAGATTTCCCACTCCCCTTGTCAGTGGGGTACACAGCATACTTGATACCTGGTGCAGACAAATTTTTTTGGTACTATATAATTTTAATGTAACTCCATTTTTTAATATGGTAAAATAAACAACATAAAATTTATCATCTTAACCATTTTTACCTGTACAGTTCAGTGGTGTTAAATACATTCATATTGTCACGCAGCCATCACCACCATACGTCTCCAGAACTCTTCTCATCTTGCAGACCAGAACTCGACCCATTAAGCAGTAGCTTCCTATTGTCCCATTTCCCAAGCCCTTGGCAACCACCATTCTACCTCTCTGTCTCTATGATTTTAACTCTAGGTACCTCAAGACAAGTGAAATCACAGTGTTTGTCTTTTTATGACTGACTTATTTCATTTAGCATAATGCCCTCAAGGTTCATCCATGTTGTAGCATGTGTCAAAATTCCCCTCCTTTTAAAGGCTGGATAGTGTTCCATTGTATATATATATATATATATACACCATATTTCGTTTATCTGTTTATCTATGAATGGACACTTAGGTTGCTTCCATCTTTTGGCTATTGTGTATAATGCTGCTATGAACATGAGTGTACAAATATCTCTTTAAGACACCGTTTTTAGTTCTTTGGGGGCATACACCTAGGAGTGGAATTGTTGAATCAT